CCTATACCCCATTAGTAGCTATAATGAATGTTACGTTCGGCTCTGCGTCTCGTTTTCGCTTGCTTCTTCGATTTTATGAGAATCTCAAAGCACGTCTGTTACACACATTTACTTTCAAGCTTCATTTTATGTACAACAAGACGTTATAAAATTTGATAATTGAGTCTGTAGAATCAAAATTGGACAATATTGGAAAAGAAAACCGTAAAATGGATGTGATGATGATATGCGTATGCGATTGCAGATGGGCAAGTTACTTTTCCGATGATCTCTGGCAGTATATGCCAAATTCCCTTTTTAAGGTTAGACGTTTACTTATTTTTACCTTTCCAAATCCATCGGAAATGGCTTCCTGCATTTCCACCCTCCCTTCGTCTCGAAATCCATTTCGTCTTCGTCGTCAAGGAAATATTCATTTGCATCTCCAACTCCTTTCACTCCCTCCTTGCTCGGTAGAGAGAAGAGAGAAGAGATTCCGCTCGGAGAGAGAGGGGGTACTGCCACTCTCTGGGTCAGAACGAGAAAAGATGTCGCTTCAAAATTAAGTGTTTCTAATGGAGTTACATTCTCGCTTGTTACGCAGATCACTCCGGGCCGAGCTTGATGGAAGGAAACGGTTTGGATACTCAGAAGTCTCTGGCTCTGACTTAGCGGTCATGAAATTGGTATGTCTTAGTTTGTTGATGCTTGCATGAGAAATTGCAAGTTGTTAATTAATGCTTGTTATTTGTTGCAGACATGCCTTCTTCCTACAACTAAAGGGACTTCGTGGGCCAACCAGAGCTTACAAGAGTGTGTTAAATTCTAGGTGGTTTACAAGTTTCTTGTTATCGATCTAAGCTTTATTTAAGATGAGCCTCTTCTTTAAACGACCATGTTCAATCAAGCTCTAACATTTTATTCTTTATTTTTGGACCAAACAATGTCATTCTGGTTTGAAGTTATGGTCGAGTGCTCCACTGGTGAAGTCTGATGGTGATTCAATGGATCGTATCACAGAGAATTCGGTAAGATGTTGGATCAAAGTTGATGCAAACTTAAGATTGTTCTTAGTTTTTGTGCCTTCTCGGACTCTTGAGGCTGCTTGTGTTTCTAGGCCTTTTCGACATATATCTACATAATATACTAATGAATATCCTTATCATTTCATGCTTTTTAATTGGAATTTGTTTTTATGTCATTATGGCTTTAATAGTAGATACTTGCTTCTATGCAGAATGATTTCTAGGAAGTAGGAACTGCGGAATTTGTTTCCTCTTGTTTGTGACCATGACAGTAAGTTGTATATTGCTCTTCACGTTCTGTGAGTTGATAGAAACTCTTGATTGGTTTTTTTAAATGTGGACTAATTTTTCTTTCCACTCTTTAAACATAACAACATTTCTTTTATCTAGGAGTACAATACCCTTTGAAATTTCACTTGGACCTTGGATGGGAGTGTCTGTGGGAGCAGCGCTACTAAGCACCGATGTAAGTGCCTCCACCTTTTTCCAACATGGTTATTTGTCAAAATGTGATAAGAATCCTCTTTTGATTCATAAAGTAGATATTTATTTCTCTTGTACCATAATCATCTATCTTATGATTGCAAGTAGTAGTTATGGAAAGCATGTTCATAATCTTCCAAAAGTTTTCCATTCTAACATTGAGGGTAATTTTTCTGCTCTTTGTTTCCGTTGACATTGATCTTTTGGATTTGTTTTCTCAAAGTTAAGTTTATAATGCGCACTGTTTATAAGCATAGTTGTTCCATGTTTTGAGCTAAATAATTTGTATATAATTTTGTTTTCAAGTTTAGCTTCACATAATTTGAAACTTAGACTCCTTGATACTCTCTTTCCTTGAATATAATGGATTGGAAACTTATGCCCCCTGGTTAATTGCCTGCCATAGTTTTTGATGAGAATCTACTGATTAAAGTCATGTTATAGTGTTTAGCCCTGGTAATTGATAGACAAATATAGTTTTGCCGTGGAATATGTTTATGGATTATGGGCATTGTTTGATACTAATAAGGGACTTATTAATACTAATTAATTAGTTAGATTTTTTTAGGTCGATGTATTGGTATCAAGATTAAATTGCGACTGTGTTTTATGAATTAATTCTTAACGCGACAACAAAGATGGTTCCTTTCCGCAAAGTTTGAGATTATCAATGTCATGTCTTAGTTCTATTTATTTTTATCTACATTGCTTTGTTGACTTTTAATATTTCATTGTTTTGTTCTTTTAACTTGTCCTACGGTTTTCACGGGTACATGAATATAGTATTGTATGAGACTGAGTAAATGAGCATCAAGAAGAAGACTAGAAAACCACCAGGTGACTTGTTTCTGACACTCTAAATCCACTCATTAACAAAACTACAATTAACATTTTTTTTATTGTATTTTGTTTCTGTATTGTTCTAATTAGCGCAAATGGTGGATTTCAGGATGGAATGGATCACCTGCGGTTTGGTTAAAAATTATAGTGTTTACTGTGTACGATTTAGTGTTCATTGGCAGAAATATGTAATACCTATCTTGTTTATCCATATCAACAGAGTTTAAATCTTACGGCATGCAAAAACCTATCGAAGTATACGATACTGAAATTGGCTTCAAAATTGGTGTGATACTCTCATGTTCAATGGATAAGCTTAGAGGAAATAGCTGGTTTTGAATGAAGGTTAATAGAATAATTAAGTTAGACCATGTGGAAGCTTGAAATAACACCATGTGACAGTAATGAAAAATTACTTGAGCTTCCCCCTTTGAAAAGTCTTTTAATGTAATTTTAATCATTTGCAGGCACATGAATCCAACTATGTATGGTGATTATCCACAGATACTGAAGGACCAAGTCGGAGGTCGGTTCCCTAAATTCACAAAGGATCAAAAGCATAAACTAAAGATGTCATATGATTATGTTGGAATTAATTATTAAACTTCTACCTTTGCTGCTTATAATGGACCTCATTCATCCCTCAAAGCCAAGATGGGAATCTGACTCTCTTGTTAAATTACTTCTTAAATAGGGCACTAATTAAAAGGATTTTCTTTACAAATTTGAGTGCCAATTAATAACAAGAATAATCAACTATCAATATGCAATTTCTATAGCTTTCATATAGTAGATAAATATGTTTTGAATTGTAAAGGAATGGCTCTCTCTAGAGTTACAGCTTTCTCTGAATTGTATAGGAATGGCTTTCATATAGTAGAACAAATCATAATTAAAGGCTTCCGAAGTGTTTCTTCTTATGGATTCCCTATAGGTTACATATATAAGAAGAGCGGGAAAAAGGCTTGAAAATTTTAAGTTCTGATACAATCAATCAATTGAAGAACGCCCCTTCGGACCCTGAGAAAGAGGTTCAAAATTTTCTGCTTTAATTTGTTTTATTTTCATATTAATTAACATCTTCTGAG